GCAATCGTGTGAGAAAGTGTGTGCTATTGTAGCCCCTGTAGATTTATTTCCTCAACAATAAAATTTTGTCGCTACATGACATTCACACATTGAAAAGGTATATAGCGAGAATTAGAGCTACAAATTTCAACCCTCAAATGACTCATATCAATCTCGTTGAAAAGCTCGTACTCCCACGAACGATTTCGTTGCCGTTCTGTGCGAAGTGGAAAAAGAAATTTACGAGACATTTTCAGCACCAATAGAACTGACCGACACTCTCGGGACACGCGCGTGTATTTTGAAAAACAAAAATGAGAAGCGAAACACGATCATTTGACGAATACATTCCAAGGCACTAGATTGTTACCACACAAAACGGACAATACATTCAGCCTTAATAACCTGTTCCAAGCGTTGGTCGTCTCGGTAGCTTAGTGCTTAGAATAACAGCGTAGAGCAGGGCTCGGTATTTTATTTCCGGTAAGAGTTGCCATTGCTTTAAACAATCAATTTCTATGTTTCTTTCCACGAACCACGACTTGCACCAATAATTTTAAAATTAAGGAATATAGTCATGGCAATGTACATAATTTTGAAATTCAAAATGGTCACATATTTCATTTAATGAAATCTTTCTCAAGTGGACCAAAAGAGCTGTGTGTAAAAATCTATTTGTTTGTAAACAAGACTCGAAAAGGTCGTAACAAATACGTTTGATGCATACGTGTACGAAGTGCCGGCGATAGGCTAGCGATCGCTTGGGGCCCCGCAAATCAAGGGTCTCGACGAAGGGACTGATGGGAAAAAATTAGTAAAAAATTGAAAACGAAATTAGAACTCGAGAAACGTTATCGTAAGTGTCGCAGTGTGATATTTCAAAAACCTTTCAATTGATTATCACCTTAAATAGTTAATTATAGTTGTTACTTATAATATAAGACTCCATTAAGTGAATCGAATGACGCCAACATTAAAAGAGGTTCTACTGGAATTCTGATTTATTATTTGAAATCGAAGGCAGTATCTTTTGCTTTGCAATTACTTTCTAATCTCAGTGCCCACGCCATCTGGGGTGTCCAAACTACTAACAGGTGCAAATATTGTTCCATATCGATTCGATTTGCGGAATTCTGTGAAGAAAGCAAAACGTAGATTGATCTAAAATGAATGTTAGCAAATATTTGAACGGCAGGATACCAAATTGGGAAATAACCAGAATTCCTTCAAAACATTTACTACTGAATGACAGAAGTCGGATGTTGCAATGACATGGGAAAAAACATAACTCCACACGGACTCTGTTACGAGAATATGGCAAATAAGTTTGGGAACAGCGATGTTAAATACGCGTAAGCGATAAATACCAAAATGGAAAAAACTTACATTGTGGCTGTGTAAGCTTAAACTTTCTTTTGCCAGCTATGTAATAAGTGTTGAAAACCCGGCCACCGTCGGGAGTAGAACCCAGCATCTCCCGGTGAGAGGCAGTGACATTGATGTCCTGAGCCACCTACGCCGGTTTATTGCTCTCATCAAATTGTGTATTAGATTTTCCCAACTGGAAATTAACTATCGACCTAAACCATAGATTGTCACATCTCCGGGGGAGGCCCCACCCCCGCTCTCCTCAGAGCTACCGGGAGAGGTGGCTCAGGGCATCAACTGATGTCACTGCAGTCCCTCCGACCGGGATGCTCTAGGCTACCGCTCCTGACAATGGCAGCATTTTCGACACTACCTTGTCTGTGTCCCCTAACAAAGGGCAACTGACCGCGCGCGATATTTCCTTCCTCTTCCTTGTCCTATCCTCATCCCTAACAGTACCATGCACTACACTACCACCCACACCGGGAGACCGGACGGGAGCTTCGAGCTTGTCCCGGTTGAAGCGATGCCCCAATGATAGGAGATACCTGGTCGGGGAAAGCCCCGCAAGCTAACGAACCGGTTGACACCGGTTCTCACCATCCAGCAGGGGATCTCCGCATCCTCCCACTAAAAAAAAACAAACATGTACAACACTTACAGGCTACAAGACCTTAGCAGTTGCCGCGCCCGGAATCACTAACAATCGATCAATCGCTCATCAATCGCCCCCTGGCCCCGCGAGCGCACGCGTGACGTGGCGTGGCGTGGCCTCCGCCCGCAGCGGAGGGATTGTTATCGTTCGGATGATAATGCGCTTCGCGAAGCCTTGCGCAACGCCCGGCGGCACGCACGGCGCTCTTCGGCCGCCGCGACGGCCGTCGGTGACGACGCCACGCGAGTGACGTCGCCGGCGCGGGGCGTCGCGGCGCAGCGGGACGCCGTGGGCAGCGCGGCGCTGCAGTTATCGACGGGCCATGTCGAGTGCGCCCGCCGCCCGCTCCGCCCGCTCCGCCGAAGCGCACGCCCGCCCGCTCGCCGAAGGACGGTAAGCTGCAACGCACCCGCTGCCTACTGCAATTTTGCGTGTCGTTTGCCCTGCGCGTGGAGGCAGGCGGCTGAGCAACTAAGCGAGAAGAACCGATGTCGGAAACCGGCTGTCACGGCGTTTGCACCTGTCTGTGTCGCAAAGATAACGCGCATTCCGATGTACTCGCACGGCGAGTTGCAGGCCGCACCGGTGGCGCGGCTTGCTCAAACAATTGCGAGGTCAGTAGTTCATATAATTGCGAGATTTGTGGAGAAGAAATACTCGCAATTGATTTCTGGGATGGAAATATTTGAGGTGGGAAATCTATTGTCATGTGGCATGCGCATTCCATGTCCTTACACGCGTTTTCGGACGATGCACATTTCTATTTATGAAGAGGCAAGGCACGGCCGAGCTTGCCGTGAAGAAGAAAATTAAAAATGTATTTCCCAGAACTAAGAAATCTCTGTGTGTGTATCTGACTGTCGTAAGTTGTCAAAATTGACACATATTTTTTTGCTTTGAAATGCGTACCGTTTTTATGTAAACATACGTGTCCATTATTGCCGCAGGCCAAGAAAAAAATGTGTGCGTTTAATTTCAGAACAATTCTGAATTTCAGAATCCATGTAAACTCTTGGATAATGCAAGCGGTCTTACTACGGACACGCATGTGATATGGAACAGTTTCTTTGGCTTTTAGTTGTCGAAGGAATTGGACAATTCGCAATAGAAATTAGATATTCAGGAAATCAGTATTCGTTCACGGCATGAAAATGTTGTCCATGATATACAAACATTGACACCTAAAGATTTTTTCCGAGTGAAATTTTCAGAATAATCTCGAGATAAGATAGTAAAACCGTAGTTCTCCTATATTTACGTGAATGCATTTGCATTGTGCACTATTTGGCTTTTACATCTTTCCAAAACAACATTTAAATGTCAAATGAGTTGCACGTGTGTAATCTCCTTGATTCACAAAAAATTGGAATTGCCGGAAGGCGTTGACGTAGGAGGTTGTGTAATTCTGTTATTTCAACATATACACACGCGTATCACTCATCTGAAATAAATTGGCGAAATGGAATTTCCCCTTGCATTGTTGATTTCGATTCTCCGCAAAAATATTATCCCCAATGGAATAATAACCAAAATAAACATATTTGAAATTTATTTTGGAAGAAATAAAACAAAAAGTATGTACAAAATGCATTCTGTACTTACTTATTTTAACCAAAATTTTGTTAAAACTATTCCTTAGAGATTTTCAATTGTGATATTTTTTTGTGAAGAATCTAAATAATAATACATCACAGATATTGCAGTAGTACACACCACTTACAGATTCTAAAAAAGAATAGGAAAAGCAAATGTAGGTATAATGCAAGGCAACATCAAAGAAGAAAGAAAAAAAAAATGAAGGGAAGGGTTTCAAAGGATTCGTCACCTTTTTTAAGTCATGAAATATATCAAATTCGTCACATAATAAAATTCCCTTCAGATATACAATAATAATATGTTTGTTACAATAATCAAATATTACATCAATATAACATAAGCAAATATAAATAAAAAAAAAAAAACAATACACAATCACACACATATTCCTTAATTCATCATATTACGTTTGATGTAAATGTATGAAAGGTCAAAGAAAAAACTAATAGTACGATTGAAAAGGCTGAATGTTACTCTAAAATAATTTCAGAATATTTTTCTATTTAAAAATTTCATAACATTAATTCAAACCATAAGAAACAAAACACACTTTAAAAATAAAGTTTAAAAAACTAACTTCTGAAATACATGCTAGTATGGAAGTATTGGTGCAATTATTTTTATTGCAAATTATTTGGAGTGAATTTTATATAAATAAGAAAAATTAATTTAAAGTAACAGAGAATTGAACTTTTGCAGAATGTAATAACAAAATGGTCATGACTGTTATAGCAGGCAGTTACCATATTTTTTTAATTGAAAAAGATAGTGTAAAATAAAATTGATGATGCTCATTGACAACACCTGAATTATTTGCTCAGCCCTGTTGAAAGGCTTATTTTCATAATTTTCATAAATATTCAACAAACTCTCAAGCATGTCATAAGGACACGTTGCACACTAATTTCATAAAAAACTAATTTTATTTTAATGAAAAGGAAACCTGGGGTCAAGGCTATGAATGATTAAAATTCTAACTATTATACAAGTCTATACTTTTATGACATTCAAACAATTTTTATATCATAAATATTTGCAAATTAAATGAACAAAAACAACCCTAGGCTTATAAATAGCACAGAAATAATTAGTGCAAACATTGTACTGACAATGCATTAATGATTCAAAAATATTCCGTCTGGCAATAAGGATACCACAATAAAACATTAAAGCGAAAAAAAAGAAAAATAACTGCGATAAAAAGATAAATAAGATATCTTATCACCAAACGGCAAGCCAAGTTTAACACTTGGTTATCACACTGCGGCAAATGACAGCTGATCATGCTGCACTTACCAGAGAGGAGGGCCCTCGACAGACGAGGCACCGATCGGCGACCGCGCGGGGGCTGGCTCGTCGTTCGGTTCGTCACACGCTCGGGGGGACAGCTGATTGCATTCACCCGCACTGCGCGATTTCTTGTCACTCAATTCATCGGTCCGTGCGGCCGAATGCTTGCGGACCCGCGCACTCGGTCTACCACTCTGTAGGCTATCGCGCCGCGTCCCGCACCTGACGCACTTCGTTCGCTCCGTGGGATTTATCAAGGTGCACCGTTCACAGTGCCACTGGAGAACAGAAGCAATCGAACCCATTCTCTCAGAATCATGGCTATTTTCCGATTAAATTTCATTCGGCCTGCAAATAATTTCAGCCAGCTGATCCACCATATTGATGCATTTGTTACCAGAATTGAATTATAAACAAATCTTGTGTTGGCAGACGTCTTGTTGCCTAACCAATCATGAGGAAGTACTGTACGGACTATTCATATTCACATCAATGACTTATTATTGCCGGATTCTCATGTAGCCAGCCACTGTAGCCCTGCACTTCACCTCTGCTCTCTAGTGGAATATAAAAAAAAACAACATAACATGTTCACCAACTATACGGCAAAAATCGTTGTTAAACAGAAGAGTAAACTATTTATTTCACTATTTTTTGTTACGTGTATTTCTCATATTACACGTCAATATTACTAATATGAATTTTCATCTTAATTTGTTGCTTATTTCAGCAAACACGTAGCAATTGAATAAATGACTCATTCAGCGGCACAACGTTGGTAGTCTCCTTGCCGCAGTGCTTCGGCCTCGACTCGGTTATCTCCGCGGCCATTCGGCTATCTCCCGTTCGTCAGTTGTTCGCAGGATGGCGATACCTCTCAGCTGCGTTCCGTAGACAGCAGTGACCTCTGAGAAGTGCCACATGAACTAGTTGCTGAAGTGAAAGGGCCGTTCGGAGTGTATTAATGTTCTAGCATTCATTATTCACAAGTTTAGTCATATACTGGCTATGGCAACGTAGATACCGCGCTAGATCGGTGTGTTCCGAAAGTGCAATGACTGGCGCATTATCTTAAAACTTGGTTGCTGGTTTTTCGCCTGTTGACGGATATGTCAAATAACAGTTTGGAAATTGTGCACGAAGGCTGGCTGACTAAATCACCACCAACGAAACCTGTCTGGAGAGCGGTAAATATATTGTTATTGTTATGCATTTCTATTTGTCTTTATTGTGAACTTTTCATAGAATTTAATGTGAATTTTGATATGTCTGCTACCTACTGTGCACTTCCCTTGTGGAAACTATTTTGTAATAGATGGGGAAATTTTTTATACATTCCATAATAATAATAATAATAATAATAATAATAATAATAATAATAATAATAATAATAATGTCTTTATAATGGGCAGAGGCTCAGGGGCCAGAGGGCCTGCTCTTCCCGCAACCACTGGAATTTACATTTACATTTAGAATAGTAAACATTTTAAGAGGGGATGACAAGCTGCTACATTTACGTCTGGAGAAAACTAGGAGACATCCCGCATACGCCTTAGCGATTGAGTAAAATCCATTGGTATGATGCTTAAATTGACATTGTTTTTGATCCTGTATTAATCTGGGCAAGGTTTTAATCAAATGTTAGAAAGTCTCAGGATAAAATGAGTATTGGACACACAGAACAAATAAATTGATTGCCTTAATAATGTAACATTAGAGAGGATTCTTGTTTATTATTGTAGGTTGCTCTGCATTTATTTTCTGAAATTATTTACTTCCTTTATTTCTATTAATATGAATATTTTGATTGTACAACCCTCCATGAATTTTGTTATTGGTCATGCTGCGCTGACACAATTTTTTAATATTGTCTCCCTTGAAATTCTGTTTTTACTGTTGTTTTTTAGTGTAAATTCGTTTACTGTGGTATTCAGTCTACAATACTCCATATCATCTGAACTTTTGTTCCATGTAAAGTTGATTACACTTCCTCAATATGTTCTGGCATTCTTCCTGTCAAGATAAAGCCTTTGTTATGTATATTATGCTAGATTTCAGTTGAAATATTTAGTTTTATTGTCTTGTTTCAACTTACAGATGTATGATTGCTTGTTATTTAATGGCTTTGTGAAAATTTCATAAGTAGGCCAAGAATCTATTTCCAAGACACATTTATTACAGTTTCCTTGCAAAAAAGCTGTTCACCAAACTGTTCATAAATGCAATTGTGAATGTCTGACAAACTTAAGAACCAAACGGGAAAACTCATCGCCTCTTTAGGACGACGCTTGGACCTGTGTTGAGAGTTGTTGGTATTGAGATCTTATCTGCGTTCGACGTCCTTTACTCCTGAAGAGCAGAGCAAAGTGCTGCGGCCGCGTGCCTGTCGAGTCAGCGCCAGTGCCAGTCCGAGATCCAGAGCGCGGTTGTTTTGTTTCGCACGTGCACGCGAGTGCGCCAGTGCTTCTGGTGTCAATCGCGAGCGAGCACGGGGCACGGGCTGCGCCCTGCGATGCCCAGGCTGCGCCCTGGCCAAGCCACCGCCAAGCGCGAAGGCTGCTGCTGCTTCCAAACCCCCACCCCCCGCGTCCGCCGGCCTGCCTGCCTGCCCGCCCGCCCGCCTGCCTGCCTGCCTGCCTGCCTGCCAGACGACCTTCGCAGCGCTCGCCTTTACAGCTGATTTGCGTTAGCTTTGTCTCGCGGGTGCCCGCCCGCCGGGGCCGCTTCAGGGCAGGGGCGAAGCCCTGGGGCCTGGAGCAAAACCCCAAACAACAACAATAAACAATAATATTAACAATAACAAACTCTTGATCCTTCAACCTCCTACGCTTCTCGGGTGGTGAGACAATTCTTGTGCAACGAGAAATAAAACAAGCAAAATTTTAAGAGCCTAATTGATAGGGAATCATAGAGAGGTGTAGGACTTTTTAATGGAAATTTTTACGTTTGAACAGTATTATCGGGGTAAATGTGTTTTGTTTGTGTGTGTAATCATATTTTTGTTATACTACTGTGGGCAAGGTCCAGAATACCTCGTGATAGTTTTTAATTTCTTTATTGTTAAAGCATCCAGGTTTATTCTTTCTAAAATTGTTAATGCATCCTCGACCTTGTTAGAAAGTGTATACTGTTTCATGGTTCTCGCATAAAATAAAAATTATATTTATCTAATTGGAAAATGCTCAAATGAAAACACATAATTGCAAGGAACGATGTGTTGGGAAAATTAGATAAGGAAATGTGAGCCCCGGGAGGGACAATGATGTAATATTGGGGGGTTAATCCTTTCAGTCCTCATAACCCCGTTTTGGATCACAATATTGTTACAGAGTAAGAAATTCTTCTAAGAATTTGATGCTCAGATATTAGGTAAATGTAAGCTTGTGAAGAGTTCGATTGTAAAGGATTTTTTCTTTGATCATTTTTGGCATCCACACAGCTCGGAGGGGTTTCGTCCCTCCCCTCATTACTCTGTGATCTGAGAGACGCCACGTTTGCTTTTTATTGTTTTTAAATAGTAAATTTTAATAAAAATGAATATCAGCAGTTTTGCGAGCATATACTAGTATACATCACTGCGTAGTACTTTTGTAGTTCTTTTTATAAATTATGATTTTTGGTACAGCTGGCTTTATTCTCGAGCTGGCTGAACATTAATGTTGTTAAAAAAATCATTTGGACAGAGGCCAACTTCAAAGAAAAGAAACAAGAAAAAAAACTTGGGTGTCGATACACGGATACTACCACTTGGTGTGTGACAAATAGCGCCCATGAAAGTAGGACATACACGCGAACCATGTAGAGCAGTGTCTCATAATCAATTAGCGAATATACATGACAAGGTAAATAAAACAACAGTGCGACTCAAAATGTATGCACGTTATGCCTGTTAGTACGCATTTCAATAAAAATAATAATTATTATTTTTATAATAATAATAATTATTTTTATTATTGGGGGAAGAAAGACCCTAAAATTTCGGGGTAGAGCAGTTCACTGGCCTAACGGGACGAGCTGTCGTGTTTTTGTACTGTGCGCGGTACTGGCTAGGGATGGGAGGTTTTCATAGAAACATCTGTTTCAGTGATCGATGTATTAAAGCCGATGTTCTTTTAATATCGATTTTTTTCTCTCTGTGTCTTGATTGTGAATGGAAAAATTTCTAAAATTACAATTGTGTAAAAGTTAAAATATTAAAATTGAAACTGATGTTCAGTTTGTGTACAAACCGCACGAACGTACCATCTTCTTCAAGCGTCTATTATTATTATTATTATTATTATTTTAAATTTAGTTTCCTGCAAAATCTTAATTATTAGTTAATAAACACGTCATCTGTGAAATTAAACTTGATTTCGCCCCTACGTAATGTTCGAGGTTATGAAAAGCACGTTTAAGACCATCGCTGGTTTTTGGTCGTGGTTTAATTTTGACCCTGGGTGTTTTGTCGCATCGCGAGGCGGGGTGGGGTGGGGTCTGGCATTCTCGCGACGGCTGCCGGCGCTGAGCGAGTGAAAGGCCGCGCAGGTTCCGTTGCTACTTTCAGTTTTGTGGCAGCGCGACGCGACGCGACGCGCCGCGGCGTTGCGGTGCGGTGGGGCCCCGCTGTGCGCCGGGTCGGGCTGGGATGGGATGGCATGGCATGGGATGGGCGATGTAGGTCGCGCTGGCGGCGGCGGAGGCGGAGGCTGGTGTGGCGCAGGACGCAGCGCCCCCGGCGGCGGCTGTTCGCCGGAGAGCCCGCGAGAGAGCGCGTGTGAGCGTTTCAGATCGCAGGTTGTTTCTGTTCCTCCTCTCCTTTGACGACGGCGCTTCGTAATTTGGACGTGGTTCTTTATTTGCAATGGACACGAAAACCGGATGGAACATTTTTTTGGGGATTATTATCGGCAATGAATGTCACTTCTTTATAAAATTTGTAAGGTGGTTGCAGTTCGTTGATTTTAAAATGCTGTTCGGCAAAGTTAACTAAAAGTAATCCCTGTTAGTTAACTCCAAAATGACGTGTTCTTGTCTATATATGCAGAGGTATTTTTGAGGTATGCAATAACCACATACTTAGTCCCCTCTGAAATTCATAGTTGCGAAATAAAAAAAATAAAAAAAAACTCGCAAATACTTTAACACAAATAAACCCATTTCCTTGCGCAAAATGAATGGAAGTACGGGGCTTGCTGCTTTCTTTGAGAATGACGACTACCTGCGGACGTGTCGATCGAGTGCAGGGGAGACGCCCTTATCCGGGTCTCATTTCATTACGAAACAACTGCAAAACGATTTCTACAAATAAAATTCTCAATGTTCCAAGTTGACATGATTTACTTAAAAATTACGACATTTAAAACTGTTATATACATTTCATACATGGTTGGTATATAAATTTCCGTCTGTAAACATGGTCTTAAACATGTGTTAAATAAACACAGATATTAATTTAGCTCCATGTAAGAAATGTTTTACTCATTTCTTATTTAACCTTTTAATCGACACATTTGGGACAATAACAACTTACACAATTATCCTAGAGTTTCAATTCTTTATGGACACTCTTCCCTATTATTATTATTATTATTATTATTATTATTATTATTATTATTATTATTATTATTATTATCTCCGGATAATGGAGGTCCTATTGCATACTTGTATAGTTTTGTATAAATTTGAAAGATCTTTTTTCCCCAGATGATGAGTTTCGGATGTACGCCACTGTGATTCTCAGCTGGCGATAGTATCATGGTCTGAATTAATGGACATATTATCGTCTAAGGTTGTAGAGTTAATTGTTAAGGTTCCTAGAAATGATTGCGATTATTGTGGGCAAGTCTTATATACACTCTAGCGATTGTTCATGTCGGTGTAAGAACTAAATTACTCTGGAATTAATAAACACAATGAGTGATGAACATTAGGGTCCCTGGAAAGGTACTAACAATCTTATTGCCTACAATAAAATATGGATCATGTATATCTGAAGCTAAGATAACGAATCTGGCCATTAATGCAGGCAGCACGACACGGCTACTGAGGATGTTAATCAGCACAGTACATCAATATACCATTATTATAATTGCAGATTTGGCAGGAGCCTCGCAACTGTCGTGTCCTTTGCGGAATGCTAATTTCTCTTGTCATCCTCTCGGCTGTCTTGGCTTATCTGTTTTATCTGGACGTCATTCAAGGAAAC